TGGATATATATTATGCAAAAAACTCAATTTTGGTCGGAGAGGTCCCTAACCATATATTCCTGGAAATCCCCCCATATGCGATATCAAAAATGTGAAATTTTCTTGCAATTTTATTGGTTGATAACTGATCAACAATGTTTGAATAACTGAAATTCGCGTATTTGATCATATTATTAATCATCAAAAAGGATCTAAATTTTTTTTCCAATATGAATGATAAAATATTTGATTTAGTTGAAGAAGAATTAAAGAGTTTAAAAACTAAATTCAGTGCTTTTGAACAAAACTTTGAAAATATTAAAAGCATTTCGGATTCTTTAAATGAATTCAACAGTTTTTTTGCTTCTTTTCTATATGGAATGAAAATGAATACTCACTGCATTGAATTTCCCGAGGTAAATTATATATACGTTTATATATACATGCGTATATGAGTTGATTAGCTTATCAATTATATACTATTTAATAATTAAATAATTAATAAGGCATCGGAGGGTCACTTATCTAATAGAAATACACAATAATAATAACAGTAGACATTGATCGAATTAAATTCTTGGAAATTTTGTTAATTTTTTATTTTCTAAAATAAAAAAAATAATGTTTTAATTAACCAGGTTCAAAATAAGCTGATTGTGTAAATAAAATAACTATTCCTTCTATGAGGCTAATAATCCAGTAAGGCTGGCATATTTAAAACATAATATCAACTCTTAAGTGAGTGGGTCGGACCTGAAAAATGAAATATTTTAGTTTTCAAAAAAAAAACGATTTTATTCTTTTTTAAATATAATACTCTTTGATTCATTACATATGCTCATTCTTGTTTGCAAAATAAATAATATAAAATAGTAAAAATAATATACATTTAAGAAAATTTTTATTATAACCATTGCATCCATATCACCTAAATAATCACAAATTAAAATCAATAATGTTTACCAACATTTAATTATATGTTTTAATAATATTAGTGGTAAATTACCTCCATATTTGCCAAATATTGTGGATTGCTTGCCATTGCTATTAAATTTGTAATTGGACTATAGATTGACTTGTTGCCATTCTGTTGCTAAAATTAAATAAGGAGAATATTGAAATCATTTATTATAAACTGTCAATTATAGCCTATCAATGGCAATGCATCAAAAGAATTAATCAATTACCTTATCATGATTATTATTGTCAACATTTCCTATCATCTTTGCTTTATTAACAATTTGATCAACTGTTTCTAAAATTTTTTGTCTAAGTAGATGTTCATTAGTGTGTTTTTGACTTATATAATGCCAAGTGATCAACTCATCTCTAATAAAAATACTCAAGTATTGGCCTAAATCAAACTAAATGTACAAATTATGTTAACCTCCCAAAAAGAATTTTTAAATGAAAGTAATTGCTTAAATAAAGTACTTTAAATACCTCCGGTTCAGTTAAGCATCGACCAATAGCCAGCATTGCTAATAAGAAATAATAATAATATAAAGATTAAATTAATTGAAAGCGACTGATAAAAATAGCACAAAAATATTATGGTTTTAACAATTTAACATACCTGAGGAAAAAATTCCTTCTAAACCAATTGGTGTAATAAATTGTTGTATACTGCGAGTTAATCGGAAAGGAACAGATTCCTGGTTTTGAAGCATTGGAACACCTTGTGCAAAACCTAATAAAAGAAATTTTCAAAGTTAGGTGAAACGAATTGCATATTACAAATAAAATATATAATAATATATAACTTACTTGGAATCAATTCACTTGACCAAATATTGCCAGTGTTTCGAGATATCAAAAATTTATGTGGATGTCTCTGACCAACACACATAATATATGTCATAAAAGATACAGCAGCCATTTGTGAAGTAAAATGTTTTCTAAATGACCAAAGTTCCTCGTGTGATTTGATGGTTTTGGCAAAGTACTAAATTAAGATAATCATCAATAATCATTTTATTTACGAAATATTCAATAAATTAGATATAAATAATATTATACCTTTATTAAAACATCACTTGGTATATACTTTGATTGAATGTTTCTTGCAATCTCAACTTTGAGATTAATGGCGTCTTTTCTCTATGTTAATGGATTCAATTAACACAAATATTTCTATAAATCTACAATTGAACCAATCAATAATCTTTATAAAATTTTCCTACCGTTGATGTACGGCTTATATTGGATCTCATTTTATTAATAAAATAAATAATGGGTTCATCTTTTGATATTCTGATATTATCACAATGATCTTCATAAATATCTTGTAATGAACAATATGATGGATCATCCTGTACTATTCTAACTTGTGGAGCAAATGGAATTATTAGAGGGAGATGGAATGAAATATTTCGCTTGCGACTTTCTTTGCGATGTTCAAGTACACTTGAATAATAAAAATAACAAATGGTAATAATATATTGTTTTTAATAAGAAAAATTTAAAGTTTTTTATAATTTTCTAAAGAAAGAAATAATTACCTGTTTAGAATTCTGAAAAGCTGCAACATTCGTTCTTCACGCCGACTATGCCTTGCTGATGGATACTGAACTGCAAATGGATGAAGACTACCATCATGTCCTCGTATAGTAAGCCTTCGATAACAAAAACCATGAGATCGAATTATTTCAATTTCTGACATAAAACGATCAATACGAACAAAATCCGAATTATTGTTATCTTTGAGCTAAATACATATATATACATATACATGTAAACATAAAAATCATCAATTAAATACCACGTTTAAAATTATTTTTAACAACTAATATAAAAGCCTACCAATAAATACTGTCCAGGGATTTCCACTTCTTCAAATTTCTGATGTTGAAATTCAACCAAGTAGGCACTAAAATATTCTAGATGTAGCTTGCGTGGTTTACTATCCAATATTACTTCAAATTTGTCTCTCCATCTACGAAGATTTTCAACATATTGCATGAAATTTGGCTTTCTTTTAATGAAATCTTCTTCAAAGGCAGTCTACAAAAATAATTTATGTATATAAATGAATCAATAAATTAAACAAAATTGTATCAAATTTAAATGATCTTAATATATTAAACCTTTATCGGACCAGCACTTAGATTATCAGCAAATCTTTTGACATTCATTTCTGTTGTTTGTGTAAGTGATCCAATATCATGATTTTGAGTCAATCTATTTGTTATTTGCTATTCACGGGCCAATAAATTAGACTTCTTAAACTTATAAAAAATTCTTAAGAAAAAATATATAACAAATAAAATTAATAAAATAATACCTGTAAACCATCATTTAAAAGTGCAACAATCAATCTATAAATGTCTTCATCTGAGTTTGGCTTAAGACGTTGTTGAATTTGATCAACCATGGTTTCCATTGTCAAAGCCAGTAAAGGAAACGATGTTTTTAAAGTAGACATTATATCTTCAACATGTTCCCATGGTTGTTTCACTATGGGTTGAGTTTGCGGTGTAGTTGGAATATTTGTCAAGACATGATGATGAATTGGACTCATTCCAGGTGTTTGTGCAATAGGTGACCTTCCTGGTTCAACAGTTGTTGGTAAATGACCTTGCATATTACTTGAAGAATTAGTAGCATTAGGCAAAGAATTAGTGTTTTGTATATTTTGTGCTGGAATATTATTGGAAGGAGTCGACATATTTAGAATGGTTGCTCCTTGTATAGCAGGACTTTGAGGTTGAGAAGACATTGGGTTTGACTGATTGAAATTAACCCCATGAGTATTGATTTGAACAGGGCTTCCTCTATTAGAGTTACTTTGTCCAACATTTTGTGGAGCTGGTCGTTGTACATTTCCCATGTTTGTAATATTAGAACCTACCTGTGATGTTGAAGAAATTATAGGGGTTGCTGATTGTGTTGTTGATGTTCCTGGATTATTGGCAATAGATGATGATAATTGTACTGCACGAGCATGCGTTTGAGCAATGGCTACTTGTTTTTTCACCAGCAAATATTCTTCTCTTGCTGTTCTTAATTGAAAATGTAACGCCTTTTAACAAAAAAAAAAAAAAAAAGAGAAAGAATATATCATTAATAGCTAAATAATTATTTAGTTAAAAGTCAAAAAATGTATAATTGCCTGAGGATATTGTTTAGCAATTTTCATAAGGATACTGCGAGCATGTTTCGCCTCTTTATGCATAAGGCATATGATAAGTTGTGGTATAAAAGTTATCCAATACCATACAGGAACTTCAGTTTTATTGAAAAATGTTTCAAAAACAATCGACATTGTTCCTTGTGAATCATCAAGAGATAATAACCATAAGATACGAATTACTAGCTTTCTAGATTTAGCTGAATTATAAAGACTTGCAGCTTGTAAATAACAAGTTAATGCATATATGGCAAAGATAATTTCATTAGGTTTTTCCTTATATTTGCGATCATTGTAATAGCCCCATGCAGCCCAAGCCTTTGGGAGGCGCATATCATTTGTCACGGCCGTGGAAAATAATTCATTGGCTTCTGAGTCCCGGTTGGATTTAAGATAAATCATTCCTTGTAAAGTATGAAACTCTGCCTTTTGTTGTGAGCTGAAAAAGTGCAAATTTGTATTAATTATAACATCTAGAGCTTGGTTTATTTCATTATTTTGATAATGACATTTTGCTTGTTCTCTCAATTTCAAAAATGCTTCTTGAATCTCAATGTTTGGCAAAGTATAAATCTTTTGCAGAAATTCTGTACAAACATCATAAAGTTGATGCTTTCTTGCAACATGTGCAAATCGGTTGATAATCCATGCAGTTTCATGATGTCCACGATGATTAGAATTTATTTGTAAATTTTGAAACTGTTCAAATGATTTACTAATGACATTAAAAATGTGTTTTCTAAAAGCAACAATGTCACTCCAAATGTTAATATCATCCCACATGTTTGGTAATCTTTCTCTCCAACTTGAAAGGACATTTCTAATTTCATTTTGATTATCTAAACTTTGAATATAATTTGATAAATTGGAGAATATTTTAGTTGCTTCGTCAAATTCCACCATAAGTTGAAATGAATGCAATAACGATATATGACTTTCTGACACGATTTTTGGAAGTGTGCACCATTTCTGTAGTGTTAATTGATTTGCTTCTCTGATAAGCTTTTTATATTCATCAAAATTATTAGTATGACTTGATCTCATTAAAGCTACAAACGATTCAAACATTTTATACTGTGGACTTTTGGATAATTCAAATGATGATAAATAAGAAATTTGTTCACTTAATTCTTTTTCATTTGCCCAATCTGCTAAATGAAATGCACAATCTAATAATAAATCTTTACTATTTTCATTCTTTGCTAAATCATAAAGAATATTCCATTGTTGCAGTTTTTTTGCGGATGATATCCAGCGGTCTTCCCATAATATGCTTTCTGATTCAGAACATGCTGATCCTGAAATTTTTGATTTATGTAATGCATTTTCATACTCTATCTGAGCTTGTAACAAATTTCCACTTTGTTCATATGAAATGGCAATATTGGTATCAAGATATTTACAATGTCTCTTCCATAAACCATAATACATGTCATCCTCTGATAAACTGGAATAAAGATCAGCTAAAGCGTCTATAGTAAGTTCTTTGTATTTCTCATCATTTTTATCCCTTTCAGATGATGCATTTTGCAAAATTGCCATTGCGATATGCCAGGCCCCATGTAATTTACCAAGATATTTGATTAAATGTGGTGGCAATTTCAAAACAGGTGAACAATGTGATATTCCATCTAATAATGCTTGTATACAATTTGGTTGAGAATTTTTTTGAACCTCATGATAATCTTCTGACAAAAGCTTTACTAATTTATTGGTTAAATCTTGTCTTTCTTTATTATTTATATTTGACCAACAAATTGGGAAAAGATGTACCCATAAATTATATGCTATTTTATTGTCTAATTGATGAAGTTGTTTTAAAGGTGATAATATATCTCCAACACGTAACTTTTTAACTTCAAATAAAAATTCCCTGTGTTTTTGCAAAAAATCCTCAAATTCTTGATCAGTGTTTTCTAAAGAATCAGAAAAAGATGATAAATCACCCAGTGTTGCAATCGACTTGATTTGTATATTATGTGTCATTTGAATATTTTTTTTATGAGAAATAGCGCCAATTAAAAGATCTAAAGCCTGATGTATCCAAAAATAATCACTAATAAATTCCCAGTTTTGCTCACCAAGAATATAATAAAGCCGTGGTGATAAAGCTTTTGACAAACTATGATCAAAGATCTCCATAAATTGATTACGAATTTTAGAATTATTATAGCAAGTTCCCATTAAAAATGCCTTTTCCAATCTAACTGTCAATTCACTCCTTGAAAATAAAGGATCATTATATATCTTAATAGCAAATTCTAATATATTTTCAATCAAACTCCTATCATCCAATTTTTCATAGCACAACATACTAATCAGTAATTTTGCCTTTTCTTCCATAGTAGGTAATGGTTCTTTGCATAATATCCATTGTTTCACCATGTTAAAAATAGTCTTTGCTAGCTCAATATTTTTTGAATTTTCAATTAATTGTGAAAGAAATGTTATAAAACTTTGTCTCATTTCATTGAGTTCTTCAATTCTTAAATTGGCCAAATTTAATGCAATTATAAGTACATCGACATTAGTGTCTGATGATTGTTGATTGGTCACCAATTTATTGTTGCTATTCATAGGACTCGTTTCTTGTGGATTTGTTTCTTGTGGAATTATTCCATTTGTAAGTGTTTGTATAGAATTAATTATTCCAGTTAGAAAAGGATCAATACTTTTTGGTATAGTGCAACTGACAGCTTTTAGCAACATCATTGCTTGATATAAATTATTTGAATTTTGAATAGATTCTTGTATTGTGTTATTAACTAACTGAATAAAAGATTCTATTTCTGCACCTGGTGTAAAAACATTTGCTGTGGGCTCGATAGATGCGTTGGTATTAGTAGTTGTACTAGTAGTCGTTGTTGTTGTAGTTGATGCAGATGTATTATTTGTAATATTTGTTTTAATCGTAGCAGTTGTAGTTTGTTCAGATTGTTGAGCTGAATCTTCTTCAACAGAAGGCGGAGTTATAGCATTATATATGTGAATTAAAACGGGATTAAGACATTTTTGAATACGCATAATATTGCTTGTAATACTACGTTCAAGTAATGGTTGTAGATGGATTAAATTTGTAAGACAATATTCTGAAGATTTCTTTTCCAAAATAACATTTAAAGCTTCCAAGTTATTACAAATACAATCTATATTATTGCCGCCAAATTCATTAAATTTCAATGCACGTTCAAAGGGATTCAATTTCACATTGACTTCAGGCCAGAAATCAGGTTGCAAAAATTCCTTAATTAGATCAAGAGCCCTGTGTGTTAATATATTTTTACTAATAGGATCATTGGAAGCACACACAAATTTGATAAGATAATTGACAACATTTTCACGCAAATAATTATTGGGAATGTATTTTGAATTGCATTCAGACAAATTTTTTGATTCTGAAAATCCATATTCTAGAATTTGTCGTTTTCTTGGTGAAAACTCAGTTTCTGACTCCAAACGTCGTTTTCCAGGACTTGCAATAGGGGTAGATGCTGCACTGCTACTGTTTTGTTCATTGGTACTATTTTCATTGAGACGACAGCGTTCCCATTTGAGAATCAGCTCAGAAAGATCTATCGTTAATAGTCTAGTTTCAGATGTTGCATTTTGCAGTAAACCTAATCTGGTTAATGTGTTAGCAATTTGCGGCATAAAATGCTCTCTGTATTCATAAAATAAGTCAGGGTGCCTAACAAGCAATTGATATACATTAATTAGTTGAGTCAAACCATATCCGTCTTCCAAAAGAATTCTTTTTGTATATACAATCCAATTCGGCGGTGGTTTCTTTTTTGAATCTTTCTTGGATTCATCAAATGACTGTGACTGAGGTGAAATAAATTTCGGTGCAAGCATATCCAATGCTTGTTTTACCAACGCCCTTGCCTCTACTTGATGAGCCTTTAAGAGTGCTGTATAAGATTGAAATAGCATTCTTAAACTGACCTGATCAAATTCTGCAAAACATGCAGCTAAAAACACAAACGCTGAATGTTTTGCTGTGATATCATCAACTCTTGACCAATTCCATCCAAATTTAATAAGTGAACTACGTGTAGTTATGAGGTTTGGTACACTTTTAACAATAACTGTTGAAAATTGAAGAACTTCTATGCGTAAAGAATCTTCTATTTCATCATGATTATCCGCCAGATAATGCCATAGAGATTGAATTTTGTCCATTTGAGTAGTGTCAATGATTTTTTCATGCTCTTGATCAATATTAGATATAAGTGAGCTCGAGTTGCTTGACTCGCAGTGTTTAGCAAAATCATATAATAACATTGGTGTGACTATAATCTTTAATGATAGTGTTTTAATGCTAGGTAAAATATTTGGATCAGAAAATGTGTCGAGAAACTTGTTGAGAATTGCTCGCTTTTGTTCAACTGGATACTTTTTGGCAACTTCTTCATGATAAAATTTTTTTAAAAACGTATAATCAATAATATTTTTGTTGGAGAAAATAGAAACAAATTCAAAGAGCAAATCAATGTCTTCTGGTTTTTCTTTTAAATAAATACAGAAAATCTCTATTAAATATTTAGATTCGTGTATTTGTTTCAAATTTAAGCTGCTTTCATTTTTTAATCTATCCGTGCGACCTTGATCCCTCCAAGCTTCTTTTAAAAATGTCAGAACAGGAGTTGATGAAGGTTCTGATAGCCATTTATGATCAAACTTGGTAATCTGTCGAATGATCAAAATTGCTTTGACTAAAGTATCAACATGATTGCTTACGTCTGAATGGTGAATACTTGAAATCTTTTCAATCAGTGTTACTGGGTTATTTTTTATCTCTTCTCTAAGTTTTGGTGCTTCCTCAGTACCCAATACATTAATGAATAATTGACTATACTTATCATTCTTAATATTATTATAAAAATACTCTACAGATTCTGTGGGGTATCTATTTAAAAATTTTGTAAGAGGTAAACGAAAAGGACTCGATATAGAGCGACATGATTTTTCTTCTAAATTTAAAACCATAGGCACCAAACTATCCATAAAATCATTTGCAGATGAAGGTAATAGATGGAATATGTTTAATATTGCAACAATGATTTTAATGGTTTCATTCTCAGTGAGCGGCTTTCCTGCGGTAGATGGCAAAAAACTTGAATCAGCCCATTGTTGGAGATGGTCCAACAATTTTTTACCAATTTCTGGCTTAAAATAACTTTTAAGCAATTCCAGTAATCTTGCTAAACAATCTAATGCAGATACTGTTAATTTTTTAGGATCTGAAAAATTAATTAGAATTGGTCTAACCCCTAATTGTAAAAGATCTTTAGACAATTTGTGTTGTTGTTGAATAACTTGTTGAAGAGCCTTCGTTCCTACTTCAATAATTTCTGGAACATTCATGTGTAATGTTTTGAAAAAAATACCAATAATACGTGGCCTAGTAACATTTGGATTATTCCCAGAAAATAATTCATCAGGCAAAGTCATTGCTGCTTTCAACAATTTTAAACATACAATGTGCAGCCGAATCAAAGCATTTGAATTTTTATATGACGGTGATGATGATGATGATGATGATGATGATGATGATGATGATGAATTACGATTCATTAAAGCCTGATCATCTTCAACATCAATTAAAATAACCACCTCGCCAAGTATCCTTGTGAGATCTTCGTAATGTTGAGAAGTTATGAAGTGTGGTTGCAAAGTTAAACAATAGGTAATAGCATCAATACGGCCTATTTGCATTGAAACTGGTAAAGCTCTAAGAGGTTGTCCAAAAATTAAATTTATTAATATGTCTTTAGCTTGAGAAAGTAAACTGGAAATAGTTTTTTGAGTCAATTCACTTAAAAGTTTAAATGCTGAATGTATTGTTTCCCTTACAGACTCATTTACATTGCATAATTCTGAAGTTAATGTGATTATAAGCTTATCAAACTTATTTTTTTTATCTGTGAATTCATTAGAATTTTGCATTTCGATATCGTCATCAATCAATGACTGTGAATCTTGCTGTTTGTTACAAATCTCAATGACACGTAAGAGGATTTGTGGTGCATCATCAACACTCCCAGCTGCAAATTCAGGAGAAATATGCTTCAATACAAAAAGGAGAGCTTTAACAAATTCAATTTCATGGTCCAACATCCATTTAGTACCCATGTCAAGTTGAGAGCTAATTATAGATATGCCTAAACAACCGCCACTTTTATAAAACCATTCCTGTTGATAACAACATGAACAAAATCTTGAAGCCAGGAAAAAGAAAAAAGGACAATAACTAATTATTTGTTTTGATCCAGAAATTAATAAACAAGTTTCATAAATAGTTGTCAGAGCTGAACTTGCCAAACTACGTAATTTAAGATTTTCAGATGTGATAGTTTCGATTAAAGCTTCTAACATTGCCTTAGTCTCAAAACTGTATCTTTTATCATCAACATCAAAATTAAGTCTTTCTTTTTTTGCTTTATTAAATTCAATTAGTTCACCAATCTCCAAAAGTGCAAAATGTCGGCAAATATTTTGTAAGAATGGCCAAGAATTTTCTTTAAGCTCAGGCAAAGATGAAGCAACAAATAAAGCACATAAAACATTTTTCAATGTTTCCTCTTGTATGGCTTTCTTTCTTAAAATATTCTTGTGCCCATCTTTGTTGATTTTACTTTTAATTAATTGCTGACTTGATAAATTTTGACTATCTCTAGGTGTTTCTATATCTAGATCCATTTTATCATCACCCGAGCTTTTGTCGATTACTATTGATTCTTTATTAATGATAGGAAAAATTTCTTTCTGTAGTTGTGTTCTAATTAATTTTCCTAGATCTTCACTGCCTTCATCTAAATCGAAAAAAAGTGGAATTAATGAAACAATAAATTTATATGCATGTTTTTTGTAAAAGCTAGAAGAGTCAGGGTCTTGTAAAATATCTCCAGCAAGTTTTAGACAATCATTTAATTGCATTGAATATGCAGCAGAATTTGAACTGAAAAAAATCTGCAGATCAATAGTGCTTAATAAAGAGTAATTGGCGTTGAGTTTTGGTGGATCTTTTAAAGTACGACGATTTCGACCTCCAAGTTTCCCTAATATTTGCATGGCTGAGTAGCTATATTTCTGATCATAAGGTGGTGGTTTAAGATGCCTCCAAAGTGCATTCATCAATTCATCAATTACTGGTGCTAATATAGGATCTAAGAAATCTGGAGTCAAATTATCAATACAAAGTTCTAAAGTACGAAGTCCTTGACTAACTAAATCTGGTCCCGCCTGTAATGCTAAAACAAGGGGCTTCATCAAATAATTAAGATATGGGAGGAGTGAGCTCAAACGAACAGGAACTGTAAGACAAAGCTCAACAAACAAATTTTGCATTTGTTGCATTTGTGTTAATGTTAAGAAATTGTTTAATCCCTCTAGTAACATTGGTAATAATGGAGTGACTTCTCTGTACAAATTTTCATATTTACCAGCTGCGAGGCACCTAAAAAGGGTTTTTAAAAGAATAAAATAATTAATTGGTTTTTTGGCCTTTGTGGAAAGTTTCATAGATGATGTAATGATATTTGCAACGTGTGGTTGAAGAATTGCTTCATTATGGCTAGGAAGCTGAGTGAGCGGCTGAAAAATTGATTTAAATAATTTAAGCATAACTGAAGAGTATATTATATCTTCTGCTCCAAGTTTGTCTAACCTATCCACTAAAAATCTCAATAGAATTCCAGAGAAACTATGAGATATAATAATATCAGAAGCTGTTAAAAAATAATGAGGAATTTGATGCAAAGAAGGGTTTTGTAACATCTGTTCAAAAAAAAATTCCATTTGTGATGAAAAAATCTCTTGAAATATTATTGGTTCAACAATAACAAACGCTAATCCAAAATGATCCAATGCCTCTTTTTCCAGTTTAGTAATTTTATTTGCTGTTTCAATTGATAACAATCCTTCAGTAAGTTTTGCTTGTGTCACATTATCAAAATTGTCGACATTAAAATAGTCAAAACAACGAATCCCCTCTCTAAACAGTTGAATAAAGATTTCAACTTGTTCTTGAGTAAATCCAGATGTTAAAGAATTACTTTTTTGCATGTTAATGTTATTGTTACGTTGTTTTAACCAATGAATGAGGGGCTTAATTCCCGCTACAAGAGTCCTAAACAAAACACGGCCATCTATTTTTATAAATTGATTATTTAAAAATTAAGTCAAATAATTAATTAATATATAGGATTTAAATATTTATTAAAACAAACAAATATAGATATATAGATAGATATTGAAATATCATTTTCACCATTAAGAGGATCAATTTGAATCTCGCTGGTCATGTTTGAATGAATTGGTCGTGCTTGCTCAAAATCAAAATCATCAACATTGGTTGACGAATTATTTTTTGTTGATCGATTATTTAATGAATTATCATTATCATGATCGTGATCATTATTGTCATTATCATCATCACCATTAATCATTTTCTTTTTTTGATACTGGCGAAGAATAGTAGGAAATAAAATGCTTAAATTCTCAAATTTATTTGCAAAAGTATCTAAAGTTTTAATAAGTATATCTCGAACTTTTTTAATTATTAAATAATTTTAGTTAATACAAATTTATAAATAAATAAATAAATAAATATAAATAGATATTAATTTTTTTTTACCATCGAAATTTTCATCTTTAAGAGAATTACTTAAAATAGATTCTATTAAATGTATCAGTAATTTTGCACACATTGTATGAATATTTGGTGTGAAAGTTGGGTCATGCAAAATGCATGAATATATATACACAATTTTTGAAAGTTGTTGAAGTGTAAGTTTATCTTTGATATGATGAAGTAAATCTGCCAACATGCTATATGCTAAAGGTCTAAATGATTTAAAAATTTATTGAATAAAAATTTTTTTTAATAAAAAAATAATAAGACAAATTGATAATAATTTACCTTAATGTATCATAAGCTGTTACACCAGTACCAATAAGTACTTTTTCATTTAAAAGAATATCTAGTTTATTGATAAAACCATTACGAAACTCTGTTGAAAGGATGTGTCGAGTAGCTACCAAAAGTTCCTATAAATTTATTATTTTTGTTTAATAAATCAAATAAACAAATAAACAAATTAACTTTTAGATGTATTACTTTTCTGGTAGATGATGCCTCTGCAGGACAATCATGAAGAAGACGAATAATAAATTCTGGAACTTGATCTTGGTAATTAGATAATTCTGTTGTATAAGCTCTTAAAACGTATGCTAAAAAGGCTAATGTCTAATTAAATAATAATTAAAAAAAATGAATTATTATTTTTATTTTTTAAAGAAGGTTTGATTATCCGGTGACTAGTATGTTTCTTAATCATACTTTAACTTGAGCAACGATAAATTCAGTATATTTCACTCTATCTCTTATCCCTGGAGCAACACCAATAAAAATCTCCCCTCTAGCTTTTGCTGATTCATGTGCCTCAGATTGTGGTCGAGGCTGAAGACTTAATGTCTATTGTTCAAAATGAAATTGGACAAAAAAGTAAAATAATTAATTGCTAAGTATATATTGATTCATTATTTAAAATAAAAAGATAATTATCAGGAGTAATAACAATAAGATAGATACCCTTATAATAAGTGGTAGGAAGTTTAGGATGTTACCATTTACTACATTACGATGTGATTGAAAAATTAGAACAACAATAATAGGACATTCTGTTAAAACTTTGAAACTGTGTAAACTATCAGCTAGTACTTTATTTGGAGTAGGTTCATGTGTTGTTACATCTGGTACCGGTGATGAAGGACGCGGTGACGGTGGAATAGGTGCAGATGATTGCACTGGCTGTAATGAACATGTAATATAGTAAATAATTTTGAAGAAGCAACATATTACATATATGTAAGGTTTTTTTGAATTACCGTACTGGCACTAGGTGTCGCAGCAGCAGTTCCAGGAGTGTCAAAGGCATCTCTTACTGTTTGTTCCATATTTTCATACATTAATTTTACAATATCTAAAAATGGTTGAACCTGATCTTCAAGTAAAGGTTTATAACCTCTATGTAAATCTATAATTATTTTCAAACATATTACAGCATTATCTTCATTTTCTTTTTTTAATAAATTCATTACAAGTTTCAATAAATCGGGCGCAAAGGGCCTAAGTGAATCATTTTGTGGTAATCTATGTAAAATTTCTAAGTAAATGTTGCGTAATTTCTACAAGAAAAAAAAAAAGAAATTAATGGATTTTTTTTAAGAAAGACCTGATATTGAATTCAATAGATTTTTAAATAATTACTTGTTCTTCTGAGTTGCTGTCAAATACCGGTGGTTCATTTTGAAGCGTATTATTTAAAACTGGCATTAAATAATGTAAAAAACGAGGATAATCTGAATTTTGATACATTTCAATAGAATCCCTCAAATTTGTAGCAATTAACAATTTTGTTTTGAAATCTTGATTAAATGGAAGGAGAAAAAACAATAGTTCAAAAATTGGATCAAACCGGTGAAAAAGAATTAAAAATTTTTTTTTACAAACTTATTTTTGGATCCGTTAGCCTTGAAGCATATAGATCAGGTGAGTAAGATTCATAACTCGACATATTAAATGAAAGTTTAAAACTATCTTGTTAAATTGTTATTTTTTATAAACAAAAATTTCAATGAAAAACGTTTATGGAAGAATATTTTTATTTTTATTTTTATTTTTTGAATTTTTTGGGGAATTGAGTCGAGAATTCCAAATTTTAACCACGTGACCACAAAACAAACATTGTGAATATGTGGTATGTTACAGTTTAGAAACTTTTTTATCAAGTTCAGCAGCTTATTCTTAACAGGACATTTTTTGATTAGAATCCAGAGAGGATATGTTATTAAATAATAATAATAATAATGATGGTGGAGCATTAATGTTATCAATGAAGAAGGTGCGAGTTGTGATTTTAAATAGAATTTCTAAATTTATTTGTCTTTTAAGTGTCATAAACGCGCCATGCTTTTTTGGATGAATTATAAAAGTATCGATTGTTTAAACAAGAGTCATGAGCTATTCATTACCTAGTAGAGATTTGATTGCTGATTCAATTAAAACTATAAGTAAACAAAATGATGATTATGATAATGATACAATATAACGGCATTTAAGCAACAATTTATGTAATAATATTTATTTATAAGGTAATGGGTGGTCAATGGTACGATGCTAATATATCATTGCCAGGATGTGACAAAAATATGCCAGGTTGTTTAATGGCAATTTGG